AGCAGAACCCTGGGCCAGTCGTGAGCCAGCGCGTCCTGACCCAGGGGACCGGTGGATTCCAACAGGGAGAACCACTGCGGGCAATGAGTCGTTCCCTGAGAGGCAAAGAGATCCACCCTCGCCCGGCCGAACAACCCCCAAATGGAGACCACCTCCGGGTGAAGCCGCCACTCGCCCGGCAGCGAAACGTGGCGCGACAGGAAATCCGCCGACACATTCAGAGTCCCTGGGATGTGCATCGCGGTCAAACCCGCAAGACGGGGATAGGCCCAAGTCAACAGCCCTCGTGCCACTGCCAGCAAGCACTCCGACCGAGTTCCCCCCTGGTGGTTGATGTAATAGACCACACTGGTGTTGTCCGACCGCACCAACACATGCCGCCCCCGCAGGACCGGCAGGAAATGGCGCAGCGCAAGCTGAACGGCCAGGAGCTCCAGGACGTTGATATGTAGCCCCCTCTGCCGCACCGGCCAGACGCCCTGAACCGCACGGCCCTGCCACGTTGCGCCCCACCCTGTCAGGGACGCGTCCGTATGCACCACCTCCCGGCGGGACGGCAGGGGACCCAGCGTGACGCCCGTCAACACAAACGCCTCGTCGCGCCACCGGGACAGTGACTCCATACACTGAGGAGACACCAGTAACCGCCGACGTCTGTGAACAGGATTGGCCGGGTCCAGCCCCAGGCCATTGAGCCACATCTGCAGCGGGCGCAAGGACAAAAGACCCAGGGGGACCACAGACGAGGCTGCAATCAGCATGCCCAGGAGCCTGAGGAACGCCAGGTAAGGGAGCGACCGTCCTCGACGGAAGCCCGGGAGCAACGCCCGAATGTCCCCGACACGTCGAGGCGAGGGGCGGGCGGACATAGACAGGGAATCCAGAGCCATGCCCAGGAACAAAGCCCGCTGAGACGGCACCACATTGCTCTTTGCCAGGTTCACTCGCAGACCCAACCTGGTCACGTGCTCTATCACAGCCTGCGTATCCCGCAGAGACTGCTCGCGAGTGGGGGCACAGATCAGCCAATCGTCCAGATAGGGCAGGATCCTCAACCCCCTGGCCTGCAACGGGGAAAGAGCCGCCGCCACGCATCTCGTAAAGACCCGAGGAGAGAGCGAGAGGCCGAAGGGAAGCACCCTGAACTGGAAGTGCCTCCCCTGAAAGGCAAAACGAAGGAACCGGCAATGCTGAGGAGCAATCGGGACGTGAAAGTAGGCGTCCTTCAGGTCTATTGACGTGAACCAGTCCCCAGGGGACACCGCCTGGAGGACCTGCCGGACACGCAACATCTTGAAAGGGAGGACTTTCAAGAAAACATTCAGACGCCTCAGATCCAAGACCGGTCGCAAGTCGCCGGTCGTTTTTGGTACAAGAAAATAACGGGAATAAAAGCCCCCTGGATCCAGCAGGGGGTCGACAGGCACGATGGCATCCTTGTCCAGTAGCGTACAAATCTCCCGGACAAGTGCCCGCGCCCGGGTCCTGGATGACAGTCACAAGGACCCGGCCGGGAACAGGAGGCCGGCGGCGGAACTGGAGACGATACCCCACGGACAAAGTGGCCACAACCCATGCATCGGGGGATTGGGCCCTCCAGCAACCGAGTTGTCCCGGGGTAAACCGTCCCACCGCCGGCCCCGGCGCCTCACCGGAGGGCACCCCGGCCTTTAGCGGGCCTGGGGGGGCGACGACTGGGACGCAGTGGAGCCTGAGCCGGGGGAAAGTTCCCGCGCCGAGCCCCAGGAGCCGACGGCCCATTGCGGCCCGGGGCACAGAAAAACTCCGGGGCGGGGCCACCCGCCCGCGCACAGGGGCAGCAGAAGCGGACGCACGCGAGGGATGCCTGTGCAGTCCCACCAACTGCTGCCGGGTCTGAGTGGCCTGGACCGTGCGCTCCAGAGCCGCAATGGCAGCCGAGCCAAACAGCTCTCCAGGGAGCACAGGAACGCTCCTCAACACTCTGCGGCTGGCCTTGGAGAGAGGGGACTGCGCCAACCACACCTGGCGGCGAGTCTGAACCAGCGTAGAGAGGAGACGCCCCAGTTCCCTAGACATGAAGGCAAAAGCCTGCAAGGAAGCATCCACCATCCCCTGCGTGGACTGGTCCAACGTGACAGCCTCCAGAGAAGCGGACAGCCCCAGCAGCAGATGAGACAGGGAGTTCCCAATGCGGCCCATGCGGGCACCCATGTCATAAGCCTTGCAGAGCAGGTCATCTGTGGCCCGACACTGCGGCCGAGGGCACCGGGCATTAGTGCGCAGAGCCTCTTCAGGGTGTACAATCAAGGAGGCAATGGCAGGCTCCACCGCCGGCATATGCCCCAGGCCAACTTTGTCAGGCGCCTGCATAGAAGCCAGGGCCCGACCGTCCGAATTGGGCCTAGAAAAAACCCTTGTGTCAGTCCAACAGGCATGTAGCTCCTTGACATATTCCGCCGAAGGAGGAACAGAAAACCCCGAGGACGCAGACTGGCGGCGAAAGAAGGCACTCGAGGGCCCCGCATTGCACCGAGGCACATCCAGCTTCAAATGCGCCAGAGCCGTTCGGATCGCCGCAGTCACGGGCTCATCGGAAACCGACAGAGACCCGACAGAACCCACCGAACCAGACTCCGAGACCCTGGAGCTCAGAACATCAGAGCCCGGCCGAAAATGTGTGTCAGATGCCGCCACCGAGAGAGCATCATCCTCATCGCACACCGACAAAGGGACCGAGACCGGTCGGGCCACTGACTGGCCAGTACCAGCCTGAAGGTCATGAAGGAGGGTCCGCAACTGAGCCAACTCCACAGAGAGCGAATCGACCTTCGAAGTCAGAACCCCGCGACCAGAAGACTTAGACTTCTTCCGCGGAGGGTCATCACCCCGGGCGCCCTCACGTTTGCGACCAGGGGGTCGGTCAACCAACAGGGCAGACTCACAGTCCCCAGAATCGCCACTGAAATGTCCGTCCAGGGCCGACAGGCGGGCCACGCGCACCGGCCAGGGCATTACCGCACAATCGGGACATGCACGCTCGGTTAGCGCCTCCCGCAGATGGTCCACACCCAGACAGGAGGGACACAGCACATGGCCATCGTCCTGCTGCATCGGGGGCCAGACAGGACTGGCAGGCCACCGGCTCAAGCATCCCAGCGAGCGAACGCGCAGGAGCAGTCGCCGCCGAGTACAGGGGCACTCCCGGTAGGGTCAGGTCGAGCAGAGACGCCACTAGTGACCCACCGAATGCCTCACAGGTTCAGGGAACAACCAATATAGCAGGGTCAGGTCGAGCAGAGACGCCACTAGTGACCCACCGAACGCCGTACACGTGCCGGGAACAACCAATACAGCAGGGTCAGGTCGAGCAGAGACGCCACTAGTGACCCACCGAACGCCGTACACGTGCAGGGAACAACTAATATAGCAGGGTAGTGCGAGCAGAGACGCCACTTACAACCCGCAGAAACACGTGGAACACGCGCAGGCAACAGCCAATACAACAGGGTCAGGTCGAGCAGACACGCCACCAGTGACCGACAGAAATTAACAAATAATTAACAAGGTAATTAACAAGACACAGGGTCAGGTCGAGCAGAACGCCACCGGTAACCCACCTAACACACGCTGAATACGCGCAGGTAAACAGCCAGATATCAGGGTCGGGTCGAGCAGAAACGCCATTAGTAACCCCCCAATTATCAGAAGTAACGAAAAACAACCGAGCACAAGTCACGGCGAATAAGCAAAACAATCACTCACCAGAGGCAAGCAGCGCGGCTTGCGCAGCCCACGGAGGGCGAGAAACTCGCAGCACCGACCGACGAGCAGTCACGGGGCTACAGGCAGCAGGCGGCGCGACCAACAGGCACAAACAGCTATCAGTTAGCTTCAGCCAGACTCATACAACCTGCATGCGAGAAAGTGAAAAGGGACTGTGCTTCCGGTGTCACGTGGCTTTATAGACTCTCGCGTGAGCTACCGGAGGTCACGGGTGACTTTGTTGTTATTTGACTCTCGATCTGTGCATGCGCGAGGATGATCATCCAGTGCTTAAGCACCGCCTCTGGCGGTCAGGAAGGATGAAATAGAACATATCATTCATAAACATTGGCTCATAACCAACGCAGCAAAGACAGCTGTAAGGGACATCAATGTATTTGCACGGGAATAGTGTTTCTATATTGTCTTTCTGATGCATAATAGTGGATTAAAAAACAATAAGTTTGAACACGGCCCTGGACCTTTCTCATCTACCCGTCATATAAACTTCAGGACATGGTCAGTTCACAGCTAATTCCGACCGCTCACTCAGTTTTTCTGTCCCAGAGACGAAATGTGTCCAAAATAACACAGGGAAGTCCTTTAAGGAGGAAGAAGTTGGCGATCTCAGCACCATACAAGTGGCACGTGTGGTTTGTTTGTATCCGCGGTTGGAAATCTCGCACTTCCGCTTTCCAGCCCTATACCCTGTGCTTTCCCCCACATGTTGTCCGGCCATTGTACCTACAATCTACCACGTTTGTCCTGCATGTCTAGTTTTTCAGTTCTGGATTTTTGTGCTTTTTTTTCACTCTGGATTTTAATTTTATTGAATTACATTTGATTTTCAGTCCTGCATTTTGGGTTCCCTTTTTCTTCATTTCCCCACGTGACACCTGGTGTCTTAAAAAAACATATTACTCACTGAGCTTCCTATTTGCTCCAGTACAAAAACAAAGCGGATGGCACATTTAAATCAACTGTTCAGGTTTTAAAGTAACAATCAATGAATAATTGGCTTGCAGCTTGTAAAAAAATAAAAATAAACCAATGACAGTAAGCCATAATAATCAAAATATTAACAAAGACTTGAATTTAAGTGACTGCATGAACATACATTGCTTTTAAAAAAGTAGAATTCGATAAAGAAATGGACTTTTCACCTGTATATGGTTAAGGCAGTGAAACAATTTGAGTCCCAATTCTAATCATATTTTCTGTCCGGTGACTTGGTGAGATGCCTGAGGATGGTTAAATCAGGCCTCCCAGGTATAGCTGCGGATGCATTGATAATGTATTCCCACTGCGTGTGGCCAGAGTCTTTGAGAAATGCCGGTGCTGGAGGGAGATGGCCTTGTGCGAATTGAAAAGCGAGCCACGGGGGGGACAGATGCTCTGATATTCCAGCGGGGTGTGGAGCCGTAGGGCCGCAGAGCTGTACTGCGCCCAGTGGGGGGCAGTGTGCAGCAGTCACAACTATTCGCCACAGCGGGACACCACAGGAAATAGCAGGCATCGAGCGGCACCATGCTCACCGAGGTCACGACTCAAACAAAAGCACAAGGAATGATGGGAAAAACACTCTCGCCCTGTCTTCTTTGGAGAGCCTAGTTTGAAGTACTCAAGCGGTCTTCGTCAGTGCCAAAATGAATCACGCTGATATGACTCACAACGCCACAACCAAGCCTTTACAAAAAAACTGAGCAAGATTTTTGTTCTGGACGTGCTCCGTTGACCCTTGTCCCAAAAATAACAAGACCTTTTTGATTATCAGACTATTGGAACACATTTATAGAATGCTTTTTTGGACACTCAACAGCCATTGCAAGGCCAATTTCGAAAGTGCTCATCCAGACTGTTTTTCAGCCTAGAAAGGTGTTTGACTCCCATCCAGCCGCCATTAAACCTCTACAAACAATAGGAATAGGGGGTTGAGGACAAATCACTGCAGCGATTGAACTTGATGCAAAAGGGGGGAAACAGCAGAATCATGACTTCATGTAAACAAAACATGAAGGGAATGGAACTTTTATGCATCACACAATCCATTGGTACCAGAATTAGAAGTATACATATTTGTACCTGTAAAAGTATATTGTAAAACTGCTCAAATAAACTACTACTTCTACTATACAAACAGGCGGCAACCAGAGTTTAGCTGGGTAGACTCAGACAGTTTAGCAATCTTGAACAAGATGAAAATTTTCTTGCACTGGAGTATGATCAATTACAGTCTGTTTTGCCAATCTCATGCCACTGTACACTGTACAAATACACCTGGCAAAATTCTGGAAGATTGTTAGGATTCAATTTTCTTATCCACCGCACATTTGTAGCTCCACTGTCCTGTTGAGTTCCAGTGAATCTCGGACACATCCACCGAGTTTATCACCGTTAATGAGCGACTCTGCGGTAGACCCACACTCCATTAAACAGCGCTCCGTGATAAATCGCATCTTCTCCATGACTTTCTGACCTCAAGGGGATGTTTAATTAATCAGACAGTGGACATAGACACCATTAGGGCCAGCAGGAACACGGTCCATGCCTGGTCAGCTCATGTCTGCCTCCACACATCATTATAGAGCTCTCAGTGCAGACCCAGGCCCAGCAGCAGCAGCAGAAACAGTAGCAGAAGCAGCAGCAGGTGGAAGAATACAGAAGACCCCCTGTGGTCAATATCACTAATATTTCAACAGGAACATCCACTGTTCTTAATCAATGTGAAAATAAGAAATATTAAGTGGCACAGATTGGCGTGCAGAGCGGTGAAGACCTCAGGAGAGGGCTCAGAGGGGCGCCTGACTAAATTACCTGTGTTTTTTCCTCCATAGACTGAATAAATTGTGTGAGCGTTTGTACATAGAGAGAGGGAAAAAAAACAAATTAAAATGTGTTTTATTTTAATGGAAGAAAATTGATTGATGTTATTATAAACAATAGGCTAAAAAAACAATCTTTGATTATTTCTATAGGAAACAAGTCTGCATTAGCTTTTCTAATTTAATATACTGTACTTCATGGTCTGTTAGTGACTTTTTTTGTTTTTACTGAAATTGTTGCCAGCAAGGACTGTGGGGATGAGTAAAACATGTAAAGCAAGCTACCTACAACACACTCATGAACTTTTTACCCAATCTAAATTACTGAAGTTTCCTGACCTTGTAAAGCTCTACACATCAATTGTACTATTAAAAGCATTTAACAAATTGCTACCAAGTAACATAAAACAATATTTTATTCTTAAAGAAAAAGCATATAATCTAAGGTCTTGGAAACTTCCAACTCCCAAAATTCTGATCGACTCGTAAAAGTTTCTGTGTGACTGTATGTGGTGTGAAATTGTGGAATGCTCTGGATCTCCAACTAAAACAATGCCAAGACATTCACAGATTTAAGTCACTATATAAAAACAATGTTTGGTCTGACTATTGAGAGAATATGCCTTGAATATATTTCCATTTTACCATTGCTGTATCATGTCCTTACACTTATTCCCACATTGCCTGAAGCTCCCGCTGAAACACCAAGGCTGTGGCACCACTGATGTAGCAGCCATCTTACTGTGGACCCACGACCTGCAGAGGATCAGTGAGGGACTGGTGCTTTGACCATTGGGTGGCAGCTCTCATTGCCACACCCCGACCCAGAAATGGACTAATTAAGGGTTAGAGAATGAATAAATGAATGATTATGTTAATGCTAAATATAAAGGACCTTCTGCTATATTAGTCATTAATAGTCATGACTGTTCTTCTGACCCTGATTAGAAGCCTTCCTCCCCCTGTTCTTAATGTATGTATTTCCCTTATAAGTCTTTTGTGGTAATTCCAGTTCCTGTACATTTCTGGGCTGCCTTGCACGGACCGCTGCCATAGTTTAGATTTATTATCTGTTTTATTTTGTAATTTGTTAACTCCTGTGTCTCTTTAGATTTACTTCCAGTTTCCTGCCCCGCCCTCATGTGTCTCACCTGTGTCTCGCTAGTCCTGTATTTAACCCTGTGTATTCCTTCACTTCCTGTTCCGTCATTGTCTTTCCACATCTTTTTCAGTTCTTGTTCTTGTTCCCTGTCTTTTCACTGGATTTAAATTTCTATTACTTTTTATTAAATCCGTTATTTTGCAGTTCTGTGTTTTTGCATTTTACCCACATGACAACCGCACATTTAACCTCTCCACAGTTCGGCTCAATTATGTCATCATTTGAAAATAAAGTTTATTGAACAATATATGTCTAGACACAAACACCAACAATGAGTGGGAAAAGTGTTGCAGTTATCTTTAAAAATGTGGACTAAGAGAGATTTCATGGTTTTGGTCATACTGTATTTTGGAGCCATCATGGAACACTGAACTCCCTCCTCCAGGTGCTCAACGGATTATGGGAGTTTGTTAAACCTGTTCACATGTGCTTTATGAGTTCAACAGTGTTACCTTTAGGGACGTCTCTGGTGGTTCGTTTTTCATGAACAGTCTTGTTTGGGGGCCACTGGATTTCATCTCTGCTGTTTATAGATGGAGGCAGTGCGTCTAAATCTTGGCTCCGTAACCTCCGCAAAGCACAAAAAAATGGGAAAGAATAGGATAGGTGTTAAAAATTTCAACTATACTGTCTTGCCTGGGCTTCTAATTTAGTTCCCTAGAAAAGCACATCCACCAGCAAATCTCTGCGAGCTTTATGTCAAAAGTCGGGAAAGTTGCCCCAGGTTGCATATTGGCTGTCCTTGGCTTGTGCAATGATTGTAACTGCTTTGACTGTGATTGCTGCAGAGATCAAGGCCCCTACATTATCCATTTTGATGTGCTTCTCCAAAGGCTGTGTGGAACATAAAAATTCAACCATTTTATAAAACGCTTTCCTCTTCACAACATCCAAAATTCTTTCATTGTGTGTAGATCGGGATCTGCTTTGAGGACGCGCTCCCAGAAATGTGTTGGTTCTTATCACCATGTGCTTCTCAATTCAATTTAATTCTTGACTGGCGCTAAATCACAACAGCAGTCGTGTCGGGAGGACTTTGCAAAGTTGACGATTCCTCAACAACAGATCAGAGAATCAAACAATAATAACAAACACATAGGAGCTAATGGGAGAGGGATGACCAATGTCCATGCAATTTTTCTCAATCTTCAATTCCCTGTAACATAATTTCAGATGGTGAGTTTTGGAAAAAAAACTTGTACCAAATAACAAACACGTATGTATTTGAATATATTAATAATAATACATTATTAGCTTCCAAAACAGCTAATATCGACGTACATGTATTTGTTGAGTTTATACGTTGTCCACGATTAATATTGTGTTGGAAGTTTACACAAATTGACTGAAACATTAAAGGGCCCACTCTCATTTTACTTGCTTACAGATGCTTACAAAATATACATGCGTACTGTATATTGATAGATACTGGTGAAACTATGTTTTTATTTTTTTATTTTGTGTGACTTTGCTGTGTCTGCGTTTTACATCATTCGTTAAACCCACTCACCTATTCTAATCTACATACTATTAATACTCACTTTGAAAAATGAAAATATAAAACACCAAAACTGTGGTCGAAAAAATCCTTCAATCATGCAGAACTACTGTACAGTTATTTTTGGAGGACGCGGGAGTGGACAGTAGCCTCACTGCATGGACCATCAACTACCTCTCAGACCGACCACAGTACGTGCGGCTGCGCAGCTGTGAGTCTGAGGTGGTAGCCTGCAGCACTGGGGCCCCTCAGGGCACTGTCCTCTCACCGTTTCTCTTCACCATCTACACCTCAGACTTCACACACGACACACACAGCTCAGAAGTTCTCCGACGACTCCGCCATCGTGGGCTGTGTGTCTGAGGGGAACGATCTGGAATATCGGTCGGTTATCAAGGACTTTGTCGACTGGTGTGAGCGCAACCACTTGTGCTTGAACACCAGTAAGACCAAGGAGATGATCATCAACTTCAGGAGAAAACCACTTTCCCACACGCTGCTGAACATCCAGGGGGAGGACATTGAGCTGGTGGACAGCTTCAAGTACCTGGGTGTTCACATCAACAATAAACTGGACTGGTCCCATAATACAAACGCCCTGCACAAGAAGGGCCAAAGTCGCCTCTTCCTTCTGAGGAGGCTGAGGTCCTTCGGAGTGAGCAGGCCTCTGCTCAGGACTTTTTATGACTCTGTGGTAGCCTCTGCCATATACTACGCTGCCGTGTGCTGGGCCCCGGGCAGCACAGAGCGGGACAGAAACAGACTGAACAAGCTGGTCAGGAGGGCCAGCTCCACTCTGGGCTGCTCCCTAGACTCTGTGGAGGAGGTGAGGGACAGGAGGGTGCTAGTCAAAGCCACCTCCATCATGAACAATACCTCACACCCACTGCACAGGACTGAGGAGGACTCAGTGGAAGACTGAGACACCCTCAGTGTAGGAAGGAGCGCTACCGCAGGGCCTTTATCCCCTCCGCTGTCAGACTGTACAATAAGTCACTTTAAGTCACTGTATAAGACTGAAAAAAAAAAACATTCAAACCTGCACTACTACTATTGACACTATATCTGACTGCCACTTTAAATTGCCACTTTTATTGTACATATATATCCTGCATGTAACATGTTTGCACATTTCCTCCTTTTGCACAATCTGAGTGTTCTATCCATGCCAAACGTGACATGTAAATTTCTCCTTGTGAGATAAATAAAGCACATCTTATCTTATCTTATCTTTTCATTAAAAGCAAGAATCCAGTCACAAACCACTGATGTATTATTCCAATCAAACTACTGTGAGTGGCCTTTAGAGTGGTCAGCCTGCGGCACGTGCGCAGTATTCATGATGTCTAATCCTCATCACCATACGCCACCTTTAAGGGCACAAAGCTGCAACATACAGTATGAGAGACACTTCCTCCAACCCTCAAAGTCGAAGAAGAAGATTGAACACTGTGGTGTGTAGGGGCTGCATCTGTTCTATTTTCAAACAGTAATTATTGATTTTGTGTATTTGAGTAGATCTTGTTTTTTTTGTCTTGTGATTTCTTATGATTTCAGTTCATCTTAGTGTTTCCTTTCTTGTTTTTTGAAGCACTTTTGGTTACTCTGTGTATGAGTTGTGCAATACAAATAAACTTGCGGCATGGTGGCTGCGTGGTTAGCACTTTCGCTTCTCAACAAGGTCCTGGGTTTGAATCATGATCGGAACAGGGCCTTTCTGAAAGGAGTTTGCATGTTATCTCCGTTTCTTCCAGGTGCTCCGGTTACCCCTACCAATAAAAACATGCGCAGTAGGTATGAATGTAATGAGTGAGTGAATGGATGGTGTTGATTGAAGGAGCTCTGAGCTGCCTTTAGATTTTTATTATGTGAAGAGTAAACAGGTAGAGAAATAACTTATAAAACTCCTTTTGAAACGTACAAATGTAAAATTCATCAATGAAGGTCACAACGGAGACCTACAGGATGATGCTTTCAGAACAT